AATGATCCAGACTAATGTTTAATTCTCGAGCTATCAAAAAATGCCTGCTGCTGTCCCACAGATCGCAGCGATTCACATTTGTGACCACCACCATATCTGATGATCAGCATGCGCCACCCTCCGCCTTGCGAACAGTAGCTGACTAAGACACAGTTCAAACTCGTAGCAGAAAGAACAAATACGAGAGCCATATGAAAATAGGAGACGTTCAGCGGGGAGACTCTTTTCGGCGAATTCATTCACATAGCTGTACACTCGCATTCATATATAATTATGTTTTCGGGTGTATGTGCATGTGGTTTGTCAAGTTTAGATAATTAACTGAGTAACACAAGAATGATTTATTATAGAAACAAGGTTAATTAGACAGCAGCTAAAGTAAGATTGAGTTAGTAAGTTAGATGACGTAATATGACTGACTAAAATGCTTCAACTAAGGTCAGGATAGCAACAGAGGTAATTACAGGTAAAGACTAAGTAGAGGTTGGGTAGAGAATAATGCCATTTAAATAGGGACTAAAATAGGGCAAATAATTTGGATGATGTAACATAAATGACTAGAAATTGAGCCTTGGTCAAGTTGGTAACAGAGGTAATTAGGTGTAGACATTAAATCGGGTGGAGGTAGAGAACAGGAAAGTTGAAAATTTAAAATATTACAATTGTAAAGACAAAATAATACCAATAAAGAGACAGAATGAAACAGAATTTACCTATCGGGTATTTAGAAAGATTACGTCCATTGCAAGTGTGTTGATGGAACGAACTCCCTCTGTATGGAGAGTTCAGGACTTGGCAAGTGAATCGCCATTGCCTCAACGGTTTGAAGGAGTTTGGCTCGTACGCTTTTAGGACGACTGCTTCATATTCTGTGGACGACGTTGAAGTTTGTTTGGGTGTCCGGAATCCATTAGATGTTTTAAGACAGAGCTGGGAGGACACTGTTTTTCTCCTTTGTAAAACCATGCTGGTAAGTGTTCGGTGATATGTTTGGATAGCGAACGCTGGGTACTGTCGACATACCTGGCTCCAGAGGAGCAGGTGAATTAGTAGATACACATCGATGAAGCCAGCAGTATTAGCTTATCCTTCACGTTCATGCGAATCACAGGTTTCGTGGAGAAGGTTATTCGAATTTCAGCTGCGAAAATTTTTTTGAACAGGACAGTCGATTCTTCAGTGTTTCTGTAGATAAATCTTCACTAAATTGGAGGTTCAATCTTACTCCAGTTGCTGTCTAATTAACTTTGTTTCTATATTAAATCATTCTTGTGTTACCCAGTTAGTTATCTAAACTTGACAAACCTCATGTACATACACCCGAAAACATAATTATATATGAATGAGAGTGTACAGCTATGTGAATGAATTCGCCGAAAAGAGTCTCCCCGCTGAACGTCCTCTCTTTTTCATATGACTCAGTGGGGAATTTTAAAATTCGAGAGCGACTAAGAGCAGCAAAACAGTTCCGAAAAACCACATGACAGTTTGCTCGTTTTTCACTGGTGCGAAAGCAGTGCCGACTGATTGGTGTAAAGCTTGAAGCAATTATAATTTGAACTCCCACTCTAAGTCTACAAATCTAGGTCTGAAGGAAAAAATATGAATTTGTGTGAAAGATATGACATTTGGAAAATTGGCCTAAGCATACTAAGTACAAATAACGGCAGCACACAAACAGATTGTATAAAGCTTATTTTAAAACAGCTGGGACGCACCGCAGCACTTATTTCTGGAGTGGGATATAGAAAAAGTGTCAATCACATATCCACGAAATGTAATCGTCAGATGTCTACTCCCAGTTCAATCCCCAAGTTATTCCGCATAGGCACTAAGACAGTCGTCACGCCGCATATGAAGAACATTTCTGAAGCTACTTCCGCATTATTGCAAAATTCTCGAAAATAGGCCCTCTCACAAACAGAGTTATTCGTTTCACTTTGTATCCAACCGACCATAGAATAAAGAAAACGAGACCTACATCATCTATAAAAGAGACTGGACCGATAACGGGAGTTGCTGTTCTTATCAAACATGAATTAATCATCACAAGCCCTCAAATACATACCAATGCTTAAAGACGATGAAACGCCTTCATTTATACCAGTTGATATGTACAATAATGGACATCAATTCAACTGTGGAGATATGGGGATCCCTTAGTCAAATTGATTAAAGCTTTGACGACGAGCGAACATCACTTGAAGAACCGTTGGGAAACCACGTAGTACTGAACAGATGTTTCACTTTAGCCCGGGTCCCTTACTCGGTATGAACCTGTGTAGTTCAAACCCATGGGCTTCCGATCATGAGACGTAGTTGTAAATAATACAACCGCTGGGACATGTTCAAATGTCTCATGAACTCCACTTTCAGCCATCAGGTTCCCGACTAGACATTACAAACCACATCCCTGTAAACTACTGATAATTACTCTGACATCGACTAGTGACCAGCTTTATATAGCAAGATAACCGAGGTTCTAGTGCGACGTCACCGGCGAGGTTCACCGAGTGACGTAAGACAGTTCCCCACCGATGACACTGGCTGGCGGCCGCGCGATATACCTTAAATTAGGAGTTGGGACACACAGGACGTCAGTTAGGAAAGAATTGGATGAGCGACCCACGAGCTGACATCATAATCGGGATGGTCCTGGGTACGAACTCCGCGGGGTGTGTATTGATGAAGGGCCCCAAACTGTGACGAAACGGCTCCCCAATACTCCCTGGTTTTTCAGTGGTCCTCCAACCTATATCAGCCTGTGACCAAACCTGTAACCAGCCAGACTAATGCGAGCCCAGATTTTGAAACGAATAAACCATTGAAAAGGTATAGTATTTGATCACTGACGGAATGTTTACCAACACAAGTGGTTAGGGCGATTAAGTAATGCAATTCGCCCTTAAAGGCATTGGTGACGAAGGCAAACTTGATCATCATTCTTATCAGCAGAACTCTGCTCGACCAATGTGGGGACCACCAGTTTCTTCTTAGGATGCTGCCATCACTAGACTGGACGACAAACTTCAGGTTATATGTTCAAATATATATATGAACGTGCAAAGGTCTGGAAGGAGGGAAAGGTGCCTACTGACTGGAGGAAAGGTTACCTCGTGAAACTACCAAAGAAGGGCGACTTAGGACTCTGCAAGAACTGGCGAGGGATCATGCTCCTGTGAATGCCACGTAACATCCTGATTCGCATCATCCTGGAGAGAATCAAGGACGCACTGGATACAGAACTCCGACCAGAACAAGCTGGATTCAGGAAAGGCAAATCATGTCCTGACCAAATTGCAACTCTACGCATCATCATCGAACAAAGCATGGAATGGCAATCAAAGCTCTACGTGAACCTTATAGACTCTGAGAAGGCCTTCGACAGCGTTGACTGTGAAATAATTTGGAAAGTACTCAAGTACTACGGCGTACCCCAAATATTCATCAACCTTATTCAAAAGCTGTACGATAACGGCACATGTCAAGTGATCCACAACGGAAAACTCAGCGAGGCGTTTGGAGTAAACACAGGAGTCAGACAAGGGTGCTTATTATGACCAATGATATTCCTAATTGTAGTGGACTGGATTATGCGTCAGACAGTGGGAAACGAGAAGACAGGAATATCCTGGACCAACGTGAAGAACCTAGAAGACCTGGATTTCGCGCGTGGATGATTTATGTTTGATGTCACACAAAATCGAAGACTTACAAGCGAAACCCACAAACTGTTCGCAGAAGCAGCAAAGACAGGACTCCAGGTGAACATAGACAAGACGGGGTTTATGAAAATAACCAAGCAACAACAACAACAACAGCAATATCCAGCGCCAATCACCATCAACGGGAAGGATTTGAAAGAGGTTACTTCATTCACTTATCTAGGGAGCATTGTCTCAACTACAGGAGGAACGGACGAGGATGTCAAATCGAGAATCGGGAAGGCAAGAAACACATTCATCAACCTGAAACCAATCTGGAAATCTTCGTCACTCAACTCAGCATCAACAACAAAATTCGGATTTTCAATACAAACGTCAAGTCAGTCAGTTCTTCTATACTGATCAGAAACTTGGCCAGTGTGTCACAAAGAATATTTCCAACACCCTGTTGCAGTTCTTTATCAACAACTGTCTTCGCCCCATGCTGAAGATCAGATGTCCGGGAAGAATCACCAACAAGAAACTATGGGAACAAACAAAACAAGAAGCAATCGCCCAACAAATATGCAAGAGAAAGTGGAGATGGATTGGACACTCGCTGAGGAGGCCACTGGGTGACATCGTGCGTCAGGCCATCGCTCGAGTGGAACCCGAAAGGGAAGCGGCGAGTGGGACGTCCAAGGGTGACATGGAGGAGATCGTGTGAAGAGGAATTGAAGCAATATGGATTAACATGGATGCAGGTGAAAAGTACAGCAGAAGACAGGAGAAAGTGGAGACATGTAGTTGAAGCCCTATGTTCCACTAGGATCCCAAGGGAGCAATAATAATAACTGTTATTAAGCTAATTAATTTAGGATTCACCATTGAGGATAACCATGCACTGGAGATGCCGAAATGGGATGTGTCACTTTGCCTTTGAGATAATACCTCAGATAGAATGTCATTGGAGAGCATTGGCTTCTCAGAAAAAGAATCTGGACCCTAGGTACACGAAAAGTCCAGGGCTGCCTGCATCCAGCCCGTTTTAGATACAGATTAACCTACTGCGCATTGTCCTAAGTACAGTATGGCACCTCCATGAATTAACCTCTTATTCAAGGGTGGAGGACCGCAGCAAGTCATTTGTGCATCTTAGCTGAAGTGAAGAGACTTCCCTATTGTCTGCATGTGCCAACATTATCGAGCTAAAAATCATCTCTGATACCTGGGCTTCGGGTAGGCTATAGTTGCATATTTTTTCTCGGTCACTCAACCATTTAAGTGACTCAAATACGTTGAAATTAACATATCATAACTTAATGAATTAAAATGAAGGCAGTGTACCGATAACAAATGTGGGAGGATCTAATTCAGACTTCATATCTCTTACGTATGCGTACTACACCCAACACGAGAAACGCGGTCAGAATTACTACAAATGCAAGCTTAAAGCAATCGACAGAGACTGCCAAACCTAAGTCTGAGGTTAATCGGTCTAATTCGCTCATCCTCTTTAACGTACCTGTGAGCAAGGACAGCTTGCTTGAACAGCGGGCCCTGTTTGATAAGGAACAGTGGTCCAACCTGTGCAATAAACTAGGTCTGAATATTAATTCAGTGAAATTGTGCAGGCTGTACAGGGGTGTCCACACACCTCAAGGTAAGCCACCCCCATTACGGGTTACACTGGACTCTGCCGAAGAGGCCGAAAAGGTACTATTGATGGCTCAGGTACTAGCCACCGACAGAAGCTCTAACATAAGGGTGAGACAAGACAGACCATGGGCTGTCAGACAAATGGCGAGGGAGTCACCAGAACTTTTGCCTTCTACCTCTATGGTAGTACACGGTGTTCCGGAGCTGGAAACGGGCGCTGCCTGTGAAAAACACATGCATGACGTACAGCAGTGGAGATGGCTGTCGTCTCAGATGGCCCTTGGCGCTTCTGGAGCCATCTCCGTTTACCGACTACCTCGCCCCGCTCATCTCACACTGATTAGCTCCCCAAAGCTCCTAAGTGTCACATTCAAATCACCAGAGCAGTTGGCCATAACACTTCAACGGTGGTATGAAATCAAGGGGAAATTGGGAGGACACATCCGATGCGGCGAAAGCAGACCTCGAACCATAAGGAGGCAGCAAACGGAGGCTTTAATACGTCCCCAAGCTTCAGTCACACTCGAGCGATGCAGTTCTGAGAATAACAGTCTGTGCCACCCAAGTGTCCTGCCTAAATCCAAGGGAAAAAACCACGACGGGCCGGTTCCATCGGAACTGGCCAACTAGTCCCAACTCTAAGTTCCCTACCAGCAGACAGCTTCACGTCAACTACCCCACAACACGCTGAGGTTGTAAGACTCACTGTCAGCTGCCTGTATAGCAATGTGGGGGGCTGAGAGTAAAAATAGGTGAACTCCGAAGTCTCCAAGCACATCTACAACTGAAAATTATCATTCTCACCGAAACATGACTAACCCCCACTATCGCCGATAATGAAATCAGTATAGGTGATATGGTTTTGGTCAGGAGAGACAGGATAATAAGGAAGGAGGGGGAGTTGCCATATACCTTGATAGGCAACTTAAATGTGTGCGCGCAACGGACCCACCACTTATTGAGCTCCCAGACTCCATATGGTGTCATTTCACCGTAGGCCACACCAAGCATTTACTTGGTGGCATCTACCGATCTCCCACCTGTGGGGCAGAGCACAATCAGCTACTGCTCAGCGCTATCACAGGGATACGAAACTTGGGCTATGACCAAATCACCATTGCTGGAGATTTCAATGCCCCATCACTGAACCTTGGCTCGGGGTATGCTAAGGGAAAATTCGGCCGAAATCTACTGCAAGCTATTCGGAACACGGGACTGACTGAGAACGTTGGAGACGACACTAGGTGGGGCCCTAGTGGAAAGTCATCGAAACTAGACTACATTCTAACTAGTGACCAACTACTCGTCGAAAAGGTCCAGGTCATGACTCCTCTAGGAAGTAGTGACCATGCAGTCATAGGTTTCGACCTCGTTCTCCGTGAGCACTTGCAGTGGGACACTACGCAACCATGTCAGTGTTATAGCAAGGCTGACTATGCTGAAATGCGGAGTCTCTTGTCCGATGCAGACTGGCCCTTAGAATGGGATGAGCTGTCTGTGGATGAACACTGGTAAGCGGTAAAAAAGATTATTCATACAGTAATCTCAGATACCGTCCCTTTAGTCACAACACAGCCCAAAAGAAAGTCATCATGGTTAAAGAGAGGCACGCAACGGATTCTGCAAGCAAAGCGGAAGGCTTGGTTTACGTGGCGCGTATCTAGAAGCCAGATCGACCATGATGCATACCTGGAACTCAGGAACCGGTGCAATGCAAGAGTCAGGAGGGACAGGAGGTCATTCCAGGCTAACCTTGCTAAAAAACTCCTGGCAAACCCGAAGAATTTGTACCGATTCATGTCGGAAAGGAAACCAACCAACCAAGGGGCTTGCGCCTTAGTAGGCCGAAACGGTCAATATCTCACTAGTCTGGAGATGGCTGAAACATTCAGTTTAGCCTTCGCTAAACAGCTAAACAGCAATGTGGGTATTACCGTTACGAACCAAAATGGTGGCATGACTATTTCACAGGAGGAAGATCAAATAGCCACCCTCCAAATAAACCCTGCAATAGTACTGAGAAAGCTGCAGCGACTCATACCTGGGAAGTCCCCAGGTTGTGATGACATCAGGCCATCTGTTCTGAAACAGTGCGCCGAAGCCCTCTGTAGGCCCTTATGCGACTTGTTCCAACACTCCATGGAATCAGGGAAACTGCCAAGGGAGTGGAAAAGAAGCATCCTTTCTCCGATCTTCAAGGGTGGGGATAGGCAAAATCCCACCAGTTATAGACCAGTAGCTCTACTCCCAGTGGTATCGAAAGTACTGGAAAGTATTATTGATGATCACATCAGGGAATATCTGGATAGGTCTAAAATACTCCATGAAGCCCAACACGGTTTCAGGAAAGGAAGATCCTGCGTCACTAACTTATTATCAGCTTGGGACGACTGGACATCATACTGGGATATGAATGTTCCTGTCCATGTGATCTTTCTAGACTTTGAGAAGGCATTTGACACTGTTCACCATGACCTTCTCCTACACAAAATAAGCCAGGTAGGTATAGGTAGGCCACTTCTGTCATGGTTGAAGGACTACCTAACTGAAAGGCAATTTTGCACCAAAGTCAATCGAGTCCGATCATCTTGGCACAGCTCGTCATCAGGAGTGTCGCAGGGTTCTATCCTAGGACCACTGATGTTCTTGATTTTTATCAATGATTTACCATGCCGTCTAAGCTGCCCGACTCTTCTATACGCTGATGACGTAAAGATATGGAGGGCGATAAAGTGTCCGGAGGACTCAGATAGACTGCAGGCAGATCTAAGGCTTCTGGAAGACTGGGCGGTAACCAGTGGCATGACTTTCAACCTGAAAAAGTGCAAAGTAGTGAATTTACGCACCTGTAGACTGCAGAATGCAAGTTACACCCTGTGCAATGAAAGCTTGTCCTGTTCAACGTCGGAACGTGACTTAGGTCTAGTTCTAACGGAGAAAATGGACACAAGCGTAAATTACACGGGGGATGTAGCGAGGGCATATGCGGTCATACACTTTACACATAGACAATTAGGTGCACTCACTCCTGAGCTCTTTCTAAGGTTGTATAAAACATACGTCAGACCGCATCTTGAAGTGCATAATATCATTGCACCCCTACTGCTTAAAAGAGACGCCAACCTCTTGGAAAGAGTCCAACGACGGGCAACAAAAGGAGTGGTTGGTCTGCGAAATAAACCATATGACGAAAGGCTGAAGAAATTAGGCCTATTCACACTCAGTCACCGTCGCCTGAGGGGGGATTTAATTACTGCCTACAAAATAACAAATGATCAGAATCACCCAAACAAAGGTGTTCTACCATTGAGTAGGTATAGGCTTCCTCGTGGAAATCCTAGAAGGATAGCTCATCAGAGGGCAAGGACCCGGGTGCGCTCCCACTTCTTTTCCCTGCGGGTTTGCCGTCCCTGGAATTCCTTACCGGCAGATGTAGCTATGGCACCATCTGTGGACGCCTTTAAGCGAAGGCTGGACAACCATGCAGCGACACAAGGACTTCATCCAAATGGCCTATCCCCTTAAAATCTCATAACCATTCAAAGATAGACAATTAAACTGGTCGTTTTACTTCTTCACATTCCCTTCAGTCTTACTCTCCTGACAGCTTTAACTACACCTATTATTATTATTACTGGTATATATATATATACCGGTTGACTGACTGTTGTTACGTTTTCTTATTCTTTCTCTGTCTGTTAGTCTGAATACCTTCACTAATTATATCTATTATTTTTATTATCCCTTTTCCATTGACGACGATACCGAAGGACTAACTGGTGAAAGGATCAACTCCATTCACAGTAGTAACAGTCTTAACACACTTCAAACTACAAACCCCATATAATTAACCCCAGCACTACTCCTGTTGGAGTCAACCAAAGCTACGACAGTCGAGTGGCGGGACGAGCTACACAGACGTTTACCGAAGATCAGGAACCTCTACCTCTCAATCAAGAGGCGAACACAAAGAAACCAAATTGGTTTATACTAGCTCGTAAAAACGATATTGGATATTGGATATATATATATATATAGTAGTCGCCAAAACAGACAGTTGTTCTGGCGAAGTAATGAAGCTAATTAAAGAAGCTCCGTAACTCTATCAATAAATTTCTTCAAAGATAACCAACCTTTCACTGTTTATAAGGTCTATTATAGTTGCGGAAGTTTAGTTGTAGAGCCGACCACAAAGAAACTCACCGAAGGTGAGAAAAAATTGTTTAGCATGTTTGAGAAAGGGTAAAAGATTGATTTGATTGTAAACAGATCGTAAAAGAATACTAGACTGACTACTTTGAGGTTTGTTGCATATTGGATATTGGAAATTCAAAGGTCATATTTAGGTGTATCTACGGCCTTGGTAACAGAAAGAAATTCACTTGTTATTTTCGCTGTGGTATATCTATATTTCGTCGTCAAAATTGATCTCAGAGGTATGGGTTGCACTATGTTTTACGAAGAACTGTTTTATCTCAAAAGGGTTTTACGAAATGTAAGTTTATGAGCTGCTACCAGTAAGACTGAGAAATAAGCTCACCTATTCGGCAAAGTTCAACACTAGTGTTCCAGAGGACGTTAACGCAAACTGTCCTTGGCCAGACCAATCATAAAAATGAAGAATTTCTGCATAAAATAACGTATATTTACACGAAAATGCATGAAAACACATTAAACAGGGTATCTTTCTTTGAAATGAATTAAAAATATGTCTCAGTTACAATGAGGAGTATGAGTTGCTAAGTTAGACTAGTTTCTATGCATTTCATCGAGGTGAATGAAGATGAGGTGTTTTTTTAAATCGTTCATCTCTTTTATATTGTTGTGCAGTCTTCCCCAAAAGCCTTCGGTTGAATTACCATGGTTCACAGTAAGAAGACCGACAACTACTTACTGACAAATGTGGGTGATAAAATAAGTAAGAATAAATTACATCAACTCTAAACCTATCCATAATCGTTACCTTAGCCTTAATGCCGATCCCAACCCTAATTCCAATACTTACCTTAACCCCTAATTCTAACCTTAAGGAGCTGTTAACACATTGTCCAAACAGTACTTAAAAGCGTGATCTCGGTGAAATTTACTCCTTAGTTGGTGAAAAGAGTTGATATTTCATCCAGGATAATAACAGGTACCGTTAGACAACGACTAGCATGTGTTCAAGGTCTAAAGACCGTTCGCACTCCTGGAACACTATTGTTGAACTTCGACTTATTCCTGGTCTTAATTAAGTATTACCAATTGTCTTAATTTCCCTCATTATCCTGAGTAATTTTGAGATGATGCGTAGTTTGGCGAGGAATACAAAATAAAAGCATTCGACTTAAATATCACCTGAAATTGCTGCAGTTCAGGTTACCAAAATGCTTCCACAGTTTATATACAGACTACGTAGTCATTTGAAATCCCCCAGCACTTAACTTTGTTAAAAAAACAAGAGTTCGGCACTAGAAATTTAATTTATGGCATCAGCCTTTAATCACATTTGTCTTGACTCAAACTGGTGCCAGTAAGTATCTCTTGTCAACTGAAAACTTTGGGTTTTATTGCCCGTTGCGATTGGACCCAAAGTAAACACTAAAATTTTCAGTTTATTATTCTCACAGATTTATGTATTGTGGTAGAGGACAGAGACTTGAATATTGTAGGACAACGGAGAAGCCGAATAAATGGTTTAGATTTACTGGCATGTCAATCAATTTCCAACTACTCATGTCCTGAGTTGAGATGTTTCTACTAATGTGTGGTTAGTCTTGGAATTTGCCATATCAATGTTATGCCTCATATCAACGAAATAATACACAGGACTATTGAGGCATAACAGAGTGACAAAAATTGCAAGTGGGACTGTATCTGATGAAATGTATATGGAGTATTGTAGTCATAGTACTTCTCCAGATTGATATTTTTGGTTGGGGATAGAAAGCCATTAGCCTATGTTAGTCGTTTTCTATTCAGTATCTGTGTTTGTCTAACTCCTTCTTGAGCTTGTCAATCTAATGTGCAGATATCACTTCTCCTGAGAGTCAGTCGCAAGGGTTGGTGACTCGGTGAGAGAACCAGTACTATACAGATTTATGGTTCATCCTTGGTCTTTGTACTCTTTTGTTATGCCCTACCAGGTGTGGTGGAAAGAGAAATAATAGATGGATCAATTCAGTGATCATTTATCGCATTCTTGATCGTTGTGGTTAGATCTACCCTTTACCTTCGGTATGATAACAAGAAGAGATTGGTCATACCAGCAATCAAGCAGTACAAACGAGTCTCTTTTTAGACAAAGGTTGGCTGTCTGGATATAGTTTCACAGTTTCAACCTCCCGAAAGATGTGTGTACTGCAGTGAACACTCAACCGGCTAATCTAGTCAAGGTCTTGCTTATTGCCCATAAGGATCGAAAGCCGCGACCTGCAGCTGGACAATAATGTATCTCAGGTTTCAATTCACGACACACTATGACATCTAGTTCAGTGTGTATCTGAACTGAAGGGCGTATACTGTGATACTTGCGTGTCCCGTGTGTATAGTCATGCACTTGACTACGCTGATAGAAAATATCCATCTCTCGATTGACCTAATGGGTTGTTGAGATGTGTTAGTAACATAAACATGTCACTGCCATTCTTCAGCCGCCCGCAATCTGCAGGTCTTCTGCACTGAAGACCATAGGAGATTTGCTGAGCTAAGGTAGTCCGTTGATATACGAGATAAATAGGAGGGGATGGAAATCGCTACCTTGTTGCACACCACTACACACCTTTTTTAGGGAAGAAACTTTGAATTAAATCTTTACTCTCTGTCTCATACATGCGAGAAGTTCTTTAGTCCAGTTGAGTGTTCTGCTGGTGTTTCATAGACATTCCAGTGACATGAGTAATCTCATCTGATGAAGGCACGAGAGTTGATATATTAGGACTTGTATGAACTTAACCGAAATAATAAGTGTATGCGATTCCTAATTTTGTCAATGAATGAGAATTGAGTTCAAATTGTATAATTTAGCCATGAGGTGAATTTCGTTATTTTCACTTAACGTTTCTCCATTATCACGTTTTCTTTATTTAGTTTAATGTAGTTCTCGAAGATGATATCTGCTTTTGGTTAGAAATGAAATAAATATTCGTGCAGAACAAGATGTATCGATTTTGTTTGACTGATGTATGTAAGAAGTCGAATGAAAAGATGATGACGGAATACAGTGAGTAGTACTAATGTCTGTGAAGAGTTTGTGCATTGCGGAACACATTTAATTAATTCCAGCTATATTTCAGTAGTTTACACACAATGATAATTTTTATTGTTTTGGCAATGTTACGGGTGAAATTACTGTCCATCTTCGCACCAACTTCTGGAAATACTGAAAAAAGAAAAAGTATAAGAAAGAGAATTTTAAAAGAATGGTGGTAGTACCATGAGAAGTTGGGGCATCAGAGGCAATTCGAAGAAACATCAAAAATATTTGGATACTTGTGACGTTTAAAGGAATGAATTTGATTAGAAATGAAGTGAATTACTTGAAAGACCCAGTAAGAATGATGGATAAATTCAGTGTGATTTACAAAATACCTTGTGCTGAATAACCGACTGAATATGTCAGGCAGACGTCTCGATCACTCGAAGAAATAGTGAACGTACGTAAATGCCTGTCTGAATGCTGTATCACAGGAATACAAGCGTACAGTAATTTAGAAGGAAATTCACCGATAGCTGCACATGCATGGGATAAAAACCATAACATTGATTGGAACACTTGTGTTCTCAAATGCAAAATGAACATCTGGGAAGGAAGACTAATAACGAGATCTATGTTCGTTAGGGTTGTGCCGAATACATGTAACAAGGGTGACTCAGTGCACCTATCAACAACGTTGAATATTATTCTGGATGCATGAAAATGAACCATGTATATGGTTGCAAACTATAAGTGTGTGAGTTGAAAAACAATTCTAACGGTCCGTATGACCATGGACAGTAATTCCCCTCGAAATATTATCAAAATAAAAGAAACTTGTCATTGTGTATATACTGTTGAAAGATAATGATCATTAGCAGTGAGTAGAATTTACAGGGTCAATTAATAAGTCTACTGTGAAAGTCAGACTAGAAATTGGGGGGAGGGGAGAACAAAGTGGTGAATTGAGAAGACGAAAATTTACTAAGGAGAGAGTTAACAAGGTGATTGAATATCCCACGATGGATTCACTGAAAACACACTTGTCCGTTTTCAGCCGTCCTGTCGTGATAGCCTCAGTAAACCTAAGAAGACTTGGTCTGTCTTACCTGTTTATTATTTTGAATGCTCCCAAGTTATCTACACGGTGTCCTGTCTCTATCATGTATTTGGTAATTGACGAGTTTTAACTACTCAGTTGCTTTAAAAGTATGCCATCTGATACGTGTCTAAAGAACCTGACATAGCCCTTCCTTATGAAATGACATGCTCAGCTCTATGCAGTGTATAAGTGGCGCTTGTCGAATTTCGGCTGCCTTAACAAACAGGATTTTCGGAGTAGGGAGGGCAGCTTCTGCGCAGGACAAGTCCTTGTCAGTGATGTACTTGAACCTTTATTCATCATTCTCATAATATTATTACCTTTTAAGTGGATCTAAATGAAGTTCGGATTTTTGCTTACACTAATTATTTCCGATCTTTTGCATTCTCTCTTGCCATATTGGTTGATGAAACTATTTTGGTAGCCGCTTCCTTTCAGGCAACTTTTATTACCACATGTTCACCGTGTAACTTATCTGCTGAACACATTGGTCTCTCTCTACACCAGCGTTCATTTATAGTTGAGTAGCCAGAAGCTTTAGGGACTTAGGTAGAGACGACTCCACGTGTCCGCGCGATTAATCGGTCTTCAAAGTTCCCCATCTTTTCCCTTTGGGCAGATATCTAGAAGGTCGAAACTCCCACCACCAACATCTTCGTATGAAAGTGATGTTTTCATGTACATTGTTCTTAAACCCGGGGAGATACGAAGCATGAATCATATCATCGCATACAATGAATATGTTTTCTATGTATCTAAAGCAAACTATCGCTTCATCAGTTGCACACCTAAGCTTTGTCTGTCCAAGACTAACTATTAAAATGTCTGCCAATACTGGATCGGAAAGAATACACATTGCCACTCTATCAGTTTGGTAATGCATTTTGTTGGAATGAAACACTATATTCCTAGTACGTAATAGGGGCGTTTGTATAAATTTTACGAGAAACTTAGCACTCATTATATATATATATATATACCAAAAATTTGAGAAAACCTTATCGTCCTTATATTCTGCCTCACTGTGAATTTCACACAAAAGTCCTCAGTGGAGGATTAGTGCACGGTGACAAACGAAGTATAAGTGAACATTGTATTATAACTTGTTGCATAAAATGGTTTGGGTCGTACACAGCTAACAAGAACCATAATTCTCTGCACCAATGTTCTTTATATCTCTATTCAGTTTCATGAAGTGAAATTCTTGTGCGAAATATCTACTTTTATTGTGTAGATTAAAGTTGATATTTTCTTGGATTTTACAGGCAATGGCACTTATCAATAAAGTGCTAACTTTGTGGACAATATGCTGCATACTCTTATTTTCACAAATGTCACAGTCCAATGGGATTATAATCAACAATTGGTTGATTGTATTGATACCAATGTGCTTTGTGGATTTTATTCTACTCATCACAAGTATACTGTTCATGTCTGGAAGGTAAGTGATCATCAAACTGATCATCAACTGATAATGAATAAATGTGCTTTTGGCGTTTCCGTCTCACTTTAGCTCACCGTATGTATTTCCTATTTGTACATTTTAGACTTCCTCAAATATTTGGTGATTGTGATGCAGGGAGTAAACTCAATCGGACATTGATAGTGAGTTTTATGCTGTGGAAATTGGCTGGACAGACTGTTGTTTGCTTGTATTTGGAGGGATATGTAGATGGTTTATTTTACAGAGTACTTCAACAACTTAAACCACCACCTGTCAGATACCGCCTGGTCTTCATCGTATTTCCTTTATGGACTACCATGCTCATATGTTTATTAGCAGCGTGTAGTCAGATTGTAAATAGCCGCAGATCAACAGTTTGGACTTTTCTGTTGATGGACAACGAGAAGGAAAAGTTTCACCAGAAGATTTCGAGTTGAACGGATTTCCCGTTGGTTTTGTCGAATATTTTCAATTATTTTTATCAAACCAATTCAATATACTTTTTGGACAAATACTGTAGTCTTGTGTGTGCATGAGAGTGGGTGGGTAAGTGCCAAGCTGGTTCTGCCTAAACACCAGATAACATTTACAGGCTTGACTTTGTATTGAAGCAATGTCTCTGACGTTAAAAAATACCACTACAGTCTTAGGCAGGTGCAAGATATTTCAGAAATATTTCAGACGACGAAAGTCCACAAGTCTCTACACTTCCTGAGTGCTGCTCATACTCTTTACTAGGACGGCTTAAATTGTGAAATACCTGAAAATGAAGTGCTTTTCATACAATTGTATATTAGTGAATGTACAGTGATACTTAGTTACTATGGTGAACTTAAAAAGAGAGTAGTTCCTATGACACATCTTGAAGAATTCGTGAGAGTCCCACTATATATAGCCGTTCCTACGAAACCTTCAGCCATTGTATTTCCGTACGGTCAAAGATACATTCGAATCTCTTAAAAGAAAATTATATTTGATATACCACATAGGGATAAAATATTGTTTATTTCCCGATAACGTCACTAACACGATTTATCACTCATGTTCACACACATCAACGGACGCAAATGACTTCCGGATTCTATTCACACAGTTCTCTCATTGATTTCTACAGATTTCATCAGTACTAATATTTTCCATTTCTCCAGTACTGTAATGATGTTGCGTCATCCCTATCTCACGTGTTTGTTGTAGATTCGATTCACAGGGACGCAGTAGTTGACTTCAGCATTAATGTGACTACATTACAATTTCGAAGTGTAGCTCAGCCACACTGCTTTGTGTCTGTGTGATGGTGAATTCTATGCGATAGCCGATCATGTTTCAGGATCACTCGTTGAACAGTCAGCTTAATTTCTGTGTTCCGAGAGACTAACTGACCTAGATCGAATGGAGTGATTAGCGTCAGTGCACAATATTTTACAGATTGTGATTATGGGAAATGAAGTGTGGTCGAAACGTGGATATTAATTAATATGTGATTGTGTGATACGAAATCACATTAGCCCATTGTGTAGCTATACTCTACCATAATGAAAACATTGTTTTGCCGTATCGAATGCTATGATGTAGAGTGAAGTGAAGTGTCAGATTGTGTCATTATAAGCCATTGCAGGACAGACGCCTCATAGCCTTGTACGACATTTCTTGGCGGAAGTCAAGAAGATTTATTCGAATGACGCAACAAATAGAAGGTTAGGGTATCTGACAAATATTTTGAGAGAGGGAGAGAGAGAATGAGCATCTAATTAATTCCACATATAGAAGTAATATGCTTAGAAGAGCAGTAAAGTCAAAGGACAGTCGGGGGAGGCTACAATCCCAGGAAAGAATAATGTGAAGAATATTATCACAAGGAGGTTCAATTCTGTCTGAAGAATACACTTCCTGCAGTTGCATTAGGAACAACTTTCACATCCATCTGTATTTCCTTAACTGTTGTGTTTGAAGGATATGATGTCTAATTCGTCTATATCAACGTGTGTTTACAAATTGAAGTGTTCCTGTGAAGTCAGTTATCCGTAATGCCCTGAGAACACTGAATCACTGGGAACGGAAAACATAGGAAGATGCAGACAACGTGTTCCATTGAATTCTGCCTGATTGTTATTGTCGATATTTCGGTGATTCACAGAATAATTAATCGTCTGATGATTTCATCGCAAATGGCTTTCCAACGAAGTGGTGATTGATTTGCGATGGACATTGTGAAATTTGATTTGTTTGAGGGAATCGACTGGCACATTTCAGTGTTTTTCTCAGATTCACTGGGAAATCGGAAGTTAGTGTAAAACAGCTTCATGATAGGTAACACACGATGTTGTGATATATGATAGGTATTTTGAGATGGGTGTTGTTCTTCGGTGTCATGGAACTCTCATTGATGAATGTGTACACTGATGTATTTGTTAGATCTGCATGGCAGCCAAAATACTGTCAAATGAGTTTCTGCGCATTCATTTGTATGATCAAATCCTGTTTTACAAAATTTACGTGAGTAGTCAGTATTTGCATTTCCCTAATTTGTGTGAGATATGTATTTAGTTACACACAAAATCCGATGGGGCTTGAACGAGAAACATTTGTTTGTTCATACCTAGCGACATGGGCAGAAATAGACTGAACAGCTTGGAACAGAGTAAACTCTTTGTGGATTTAGTGACACCGCTAGTTCCATTGATTAACGTGGATTGAATGCTGGATATAAAGACGGTTTTGTGAATGTTCTCCAATTGATCTGTCGGTAAATATATTCAAAGTGAACTCAGTTTGTCGACTCTACTTCTATGGAGTTTTGTTATCTTGACTTGATTCTGAAATTCCGAAGCTGTTTAAAGGCTCATTCAAAAAAATGTACAGTCCAAAGTTTGCTTCATCTTTGAGTTGTTTTATATGAATATGTGTATATAAAACATATTCAGTGAGTCAGTCACCTCAGACAGCAAACAGCATTCATCACTTCAGCAAAGTCGATTCAATTATCAACAAGTTCAGTTGGAGTGTCCAGAATTCTGACTAGAGAACTACGCCAACTATAAGATTGAATAATGATTGTGAGTTATATTCGATGTATACTATGTGAGAGAATGCATTTAATATATTATTTAATGTTAATATTAATAATAGCAATGATAACAAATCGTGGAGAGTATGAAGATGAACTATCCGACTATTGTTGATAATTTCCTATTGAAGGTGAATTTGTGTGTATGTGGACGTTGTCTAGACTGAAGCGTTCGTTTGCTGTGTGTTGAGAATGTGAAGCATATGGCAATGGAGGTGGAGGGGGGACGACATACCTTAAGATGACAATCTTTGTAGTTATAAGGTAAGCAATGACTTATTGGGAGGTGTATCACAACTGTAATTCACAAATTTATGTGTCATATGCATTCGTCTTGTGGCTTTTCCTCTTCTGCTAACATCTGAAATGACGATATATCTTACTGTATATATCGCCTCAGAGGACATTTGATAACTACCGGTATAGTGATGGAAATTAAAGGAGGCATGAATGCAACATGATTGTTGACTGAATATCACCCTGCGTTTATTTTATGCTTCGTATTTGCGTGTATTTGTGATTAAATACTGGAATGGAATACATTATAACTTACAACGATAACAATAATTTGGTTTATTCCAAAAAAGTACTTATGATGCTGTGTGGAATTCTCAGAATTTCGTTCAATATTCCATCTAATTTACAGAACGAGAATACCAGAAGAAGAAGTACATTACAGGCTACAATTAACCAAATTTATTGATAACATCAAATTTTGGTATTAGCAGGAATAGTAGGGTCTAAGTGTACAAATGTAAAAAGACAATAGGAATAATTATAATCATAATATTGTTATTCATAAGACATAATTCTAAGATAATTTGGATAGCAAGTGTCATCATGAAATTACAAATTAGTCGGAATAAATGATTCATTTTTAATGCTAATTACACAGTGAGTCGGAAATTTCACGTTTGCACTATCTTCATTGCATAGAACACTTGTGGTTGGAATAGGGTATCATTGACTATTTTACTTGGATGTGCGAGCGAGCATATACTCCTTCATACTGACTTCTAGTTCTACCAGATTTGATAGAAGTAGAGAGTAGTGAATAGACGAGGAGTTGAGATTCAGAAAATGAGCATTCGGCCAGTTATTCACATGAGTTTCTCTCTCTGTCAGCTGTAATAACAACGAGATGACGAAATGGCACACAAATTACCTTACTGACAACCTTTAGTACCCTTCAAAATAACGCACAGTCATTTTGAGTAGATAAGGTAAGACTGAGGGGGAGCTATGAATAATAATAAACAGTAATAATAATAATAAAAGCTGAGTAGATGTAGAGTTATCAGATAACCGAAAAATTAGTCAGATTTAAATAGTAACAGTGAGTCCACCACATCAACTTGAAGTTGAAAAATTATGAATCGATGAAATGCATTTGTTTATTGTTTGTTAACTTCGCTAATGTGAAGTATTCATCTTATGTTCACCCTAATAAGTTGTAAAGATATGTAATTGGCTTAGATATGTTACTGTAATCTTTCAGTTCTCTTCAAATTTTGCGCCAAGTGTATAGGATACCATAGAGGATTTAGCTAGTTAAGGTATTCACGTGACATACATGAAGAATAAGAGATGATGGAGAAAACTTCTTTGTGTTACACACATACACACTCTCATTCAGAAAGGCAGTTTTGAGTAGATCCCATCTGTCTTTCGCCTACCGACGAGGAAATCCCTGATTCATTTAAGTAGGCTGCTGATAATTCGTAGACATTCCATCTCCATTGGTAATCTTGTCTATTTCTAGTCAAGGGATGGACGTTCACACACTAGGCGGAGTACAAGCTTCTCTGAAATCACAAGTGTGTGAGATGTGAAATTTTGAAGCGACACGAGAATTGAGTCGAAGCGTTCTAATTCAGCTGACACACACATCTCGATATCTGAATTTCTCTACTTTCTATGGTCACATTTTCTTTGTGTCACGTCATCTTCACCTCATAAATAATTTCCACTTGTATTATTCATTGCTGATATTCTCTTAGTTTTCCCAGGTGGCGGTTATTTTGTGGTCACTGTGCTACCTAGTTTTATATTCACAAATTTCGAAGTTCAGTGAAACTATTTACTACAATTGGTGCATAACAATTGCATTGATGTGGTTTCTGGATATTATTCTACTAATGGGAATTAGACTGATCATTTCTGGAAGGTATGTGATCATCAGATTTTCAGTCGGTTTTGAGTGAGTGAATATGAGATTTTGTTTTCGTCTCACGTCGACCCATGTCATCATTTCGTATTTGTGCATTTTTTTAGACTTACTCAAATACTCGGTTATCATGATGTGGGAAGAAGATTCAGTCGGACAGCAACATTTAGCGTTATCTTGTGGAAATTGTCTGTACAGACTGTTCTTTGGGTTTATTTGAAGGAGAATATTGGAGGTCCGCCATATGATCAATATCAACTGTCTAGTCGTTTTATTCAAACTCAACCTTCATCACAAAAAGATATACCTGAGAGGTATCGCTCGATTTTCGCAGTATTTCCACTTTGGACTACCATTATTATATGTTTATTAGCAGCGTGCAGTCAGATTGTAAATTTCAATATGTCATCACTTTGGGCATTTTCTGCAAATGAGTGAGTGTTATGGTGGACAGAGCAAAGCAGCGGAAGTCATGGGGTTGGTCGGAACATTTTTGGTTGTATTAATAAATTTCCTATTGGTTTTATCAAGGCTTTATTACGCGTTATCTTTCAAGAATGGAATCATGAAATTTCTTGAACAATTAATGTAGTCCTGTGTATTCGCATTCCAAGTTGGTAATGAAGTGTATACGATGGAGTTTCTATTGAAGTAGTGTCAGTAATAATATAAGTTAGTTGGAATTTTGCTTGTCTGACTAAATCATGAAAATCACTTCGTGAAGAGTAAATTCGGTGTGGTACGACTGGACTGAGGAAATGGACACCAGCTTCAGTCTTCTTCTTCTTCATACCAGTCGTCTGTTTCGAATGAACACGCTAATCTGGTGAATACATTTTTAAACAGACATGTGAATACATGAAATAATAACAGCATGAAATGCGATTAAAGTTTTTGTGATGTTAATCATAGTTGAATATCAAGTGGCAAAACAAATAATGTGTATATAGCATGGGATGTATAGATGTTGGAAAGGAGTGCACAATCTAGGGATCAGTAGGAAAATATAAATGTCATATAAGATTATGTAAGATTTCATATAACAGAATTAAACATTTCAAAGAAAATTTGATTTAGAATGACAAGTAGGCGAAGTGAATTAATAATACCGGAAAGAGTTCAGAGAAGTCCAAATAGTAATAGAAATAATCGAAACAACAAGGGAGGGATATACAAATTGAATAGACAGAACGAAAAATAAGTAGGGCCAAGGTATGAATATTGATTATTACACTTTAGCATAGACAGATTACTATCACGAGAATGGGAAGAGATGAAAAATTTTTTTACTGTTTTCAGAGATCTGGCTCGTATATTTCAATGACCAAATGTGAAGCAATGCGGATGAGTCGGATACGTCACACTTTAGGCAGGAGAATATTTCTCGACTTGTAGACATCCGTGCAGGAAGAGGCTACAGAGATAAGGTGACCAGCACCGACCAGATGTTCAATTATTGAATACTGTCACTTTTTCGTTTTGTAATTTGGGTTTTCGAGGTGGTGTTGACAAACACCATGATATCCACGAGACGACTGCAGTTTTACCATATAAACTCACCAGAAATCAGATAGACTAAATTCATATCTGAAGAACATGGACACTCAATCTACTGAACACAAGGTCGAGAAGACAATTTAATGTGGATTGAGATCATTCGCTGTGTAGTGCAGATAACTTTCGAGATCTAGTTGGGAGCTTTCAGAGGCAGTAGAGATAAATGAACATGCCAGTAGGTAGGCTAAAACCTGATGAACGATGCTACGAATGACATTTTCGCAGCAGTAATCAGTAAAATGTCAGGGACATCAAACAACATCAGTGAGGAAATCTGCGTTGAATGACAATGAAGTGTTTGGAAGTATTGTGGAAGGAGAGTTGTATGACGTTCTTAGGAATGATTAGGAGGCAGGACAAACAATAGATCTCTACGGAGAGGTGAAATTTGACAGAGTAGAGAATGATGTTTATGTAGTAGATGAACCGGTGATTACATGAAAATTGCGAGTAGAAACCTAGTTTGATGTAGACAGGATCGAAGAGTGGGGTGAAGAAGCGTGCTATGAAGTACATGGAGTACCTTGATTGGACACTAGGCAGTAAGGAGTGTAATGCGTCTTTGGAATGTACCATGAATTGTGATTGAAAATTCTCTTCTCCATGTCAATCGTTCTTTATTATTTGATAAATTTGGTCTATGTTGGTGTGTCTTTTGAATGATGAATATCTGAGAGGCATTTACAGTATTTTCATATTCAAAACGTTTAAATGTATTCAGTCGAAATGGTGTTCTTGAATTGATAGGAAAGCAGGTCGTGTCGTGTGTTTCCTGGCTGGTCTGTAATCTTGGACTGACAGTCGAAGGTGACACCTACATTAAACGAGACAGAGTGTTTCAAAGTATTCGCATTTTATTTCACACATGGTACTGATCTTGTCTTCTATCGCTGTTGGTTCTTTCGATCTGTGTACTATCGGGTGAAATGATTGTGTTAGTTTGTGTGAGACTGTTTGGTGTGAAAGTGGTGAATCATTTATTGTATTTGAACACGGAACTATAAACATCGTGAGAATGTGATATTATGAGCAAATTATGAAGACCAGTTTGGAATCAGTTACCTGTTTACCTTTGAGGTACACACATACACCTGATGTTTTTCTGAGGAGCTAGAACATGCAGTTTATTAGTTAATGGGATTGTATTATATGTACTTGTGGTCATTGTTTGTATTTTGTAAGGCTGAAGTTGCTTCGCCCGATGTGGTGAATTGGTGAAGACAACCATCGCATATGTTTCAATCACGTGAATGGATGGAGGGTCACAACTGAAGGTCCTCATCCTAGCATGTACATTCGGTCAGTGGTGGTCATACTGCATGCTAGGAAGTGGGGAATTGTTAAATGTCTCCAAATCAGTTTCAGTTTTCATTATTACGGATTAGTGTGTTCGTGTGTGGTAATTTCCGTTCATCTTAATCGAATTAAGTGGATTGGGGTATAGATGGCCTAACGACTGACTGGAAATCAGAGATTGACACAAATAACTGTAACTGCGCTACATTTGCATAGTTACCTAAAACTCTGATTTTTGTGGAATATCTTATCAAAAAGTTGCGAAAAACTTTTACAATTATTTGACTTTGAAACAATGAATCTTTGGATATAATATTTTATATCAATTACACCTATAACTATCTATTTGCCACTCTGTGCTTGATTAACACTAACTAATACCTATAATTGTATATATATTGATGGATTTACATGTTCAAGTTGGCTCAAGTCAGTGAGTCTACGATTTTGGTATCATTTTGGTTAACTGTAATTGACTGTGATATTGTTATTGTTGTTGTCACTTGTTACCCTTCTTGTTGTGAATTATTTTCCCGTGCTGGTGTTTTTCTGCATGTTTATTCCCTGTTTTCCTGGTTTTTAAGGGGAGCAACCCACAAGGTCGCTTCTCTCTAAATTATAAATTGATGTAACAACCCCCCTTCTCAGGCGTGAGGCTAGCAACCCCACCCTGTAAACAAACCTGCTACAGAAACTTCAGCACGATGTATCTCCTTGAGACAAAAGAAAAAGTCTTTGTGGGGACATGGAATGTCCGTACTATGTACGAGATTGGCAAAGCTGCCCAGATCGCAAACGAAATGAAAAGATACGAATTCAAGTACTGGGGATATGCGAAAGCAGATGGAACGGGAATGGACTCACCAAATTGTCAACGGGTGAGTCAGTGCTCTCTTCCATTCACCCAGAGGATAACCACATGCACACCGAGGGCGTGGCTATCATGATGTCACCAACGGCAACGTAGGCCCTGATGCAATGGGAGGCGATCTCACCCAGGATAATGACCGCCAGATTCAACTCCAAAGGAAGGAAAGTGTCAGTTTTACAATGCTATGCACTCACAAACAACGCAGACCTCGAAACGAAAGATTTCTACAAACAACTACAGTCAACAATGGCTAATATTCCAGCTGGTGACATTAAAATACTAATGGGAGACATGAACGCCAAACTGAGATCAGACAACACAGGAAGGGAACTCATCATGGGTAGAGAAGCTCTCGGAGAAATGAATGAAAACGGAGAACTCTTCGCCGACTTCTGCGCCTTCAATGAACTAGTGATTGGTGGCAGCGTATACAAGCACAAGGATATCCACAAGGCTACATGAGTGTCACCAGATGGGCGAACCAAAAACCAAATCGACTTCATCTCAATCTCAAGGAAGTGGAGGCGCAGCCTGCTGGACACAAAAGTAAGAAGAGGAGCAGACATTGGCTTAGACCACTATCTCGTACAAGGGACAATCCAATTCAAATTAAAAGCTTTCAGAGAATCAGGAGCTGCAGATAGACCACAAGCCAAGTTCAACACTCAAAAACTGAAGGACCAGGACACAAAGGACATCTTCACTGCAAGTATAAAAGACAAAGCCGAGACACAAATCGACACTGGCGAAGAGGTCAGCGTCGAAAAGCACTGGAACAACTTGAAAACAGTGTGGAGTCAAACCTGCATGGAAGTTCTAGGCAGAAAGAAGAGACAGGATAAACAGTGGCTCACTACGGACACTTGGAAACTAATAGAAGAGAGAAGGATGGTGAAACAAAAGATTCTCCAGTGCACCGATGAGCAACAAAACAGGATTTGAATGCAAGCTACAAGACACTGAACAAAAGAGTAAAGAAGAGTGCCACAGAAGACAAAAGAAAGTATTATGAAGCTATGGCAAGTGAAGCAGAACAAGCTGCAGGCAAAGGAGACCTCGCAACACTCTACCAAACTACCAGGTACCTATCGGGCAAATGTTTGACGCAAATCGAGCCAGTGAAGGATGACAATGGAAAGTCACTCACCAAAGAAGTGGAGCGAAGGAAACACTGGGCTGAACACTTCAAAAGACTCCTAAATCGACCACCACCTACAACGCGCTCAACAATACCAACAACAGAGACAGAGCTACCAGTGAACACCAACCCCCCGACGAAATCAGAAGTCCTGAAGGCAATCAAGATGCTAAAAGCTGGAAAAGCAGCAGGACCAGATGGCATCCCCGCAGAAGCATTGAAAATGGACCCAGGGGCAACAGCGGACTTGGCGACGCCACTACTGGAGAAGGTGTGGAAAGAAGGCAATGTACCCGAGTATTGGAAGAAAGGATACTTATTCAAACTACCAAAGAAACGAGACCTAAGTCAATGCAAGAACTGGCGAGGAATTATACTCCTGTTCATCCCAAGCAAAATACTAAGCCGCATCATCCTGGAGAGAATCAAACATGCCCTGGATAAAAAATTCGACCGGAACAGGCTGGATTCAGGAGAAACAAGTCATGCATTGATCAGATCGCCACATTACGGATCATCATTGAACAAAGCCTGGAATGGCAGTCACCTCTCTATCTCAACTTCATTGACTTTGAA